TATTTTCAAAGTGCTGCATGTGTGTGTGTGTGTGCGTGTGTGTGTGTGTTTAGATTTTGAGCTACTCACGGGCCAGGTCTTCCTGGATTGTGTTGTGTCAGCAGTGAGGGTCACACTGCCCTTAGACATCAAATATACATGATTTGTAATTACAGTGACTTTTTCTGTCAGTGACCATGTAGAATACACCTTAATAAATGAATACTACAGCAATATGATTTCCATTCACTCCCAAGTATCACAGGACCATAGCTTCTAACAGCCTATTATAGTGTTCTGACCTAACCTTCAAAATGTCAATAAATTGGATTATAATGTAAGCCATTCTAAATGTCTTTGAAAGAAGACAGATGGATGTTATGCTGTCATGAATCTGAACCTCTGGGAAGTCTATGTTCAGAAAAACAGGAATTAATGTTTTTGCTTTAGCTGGTAATACTCTATGCTACTTTCATTTGCTATTGGCCAATAATAATAATTTTAAAATGAATGAAAAAATTTCAAAAAACACTTTAAGCTTGAAATGCTCAACCCATCCAGTTTTTGGTTTTTTGTTTGTTTGTTTGTTTTTTGTTTTGTTTTGTTTTTTTATGTTGTTTTTTTTTTAATCTTTGGCACCTTTGATTCCATAGATATAGATTATCAGGCTGCTTCTGCCACAATGTGAGCACATTTCCATATGGAAGTGTTAATTAATTGCAGAGGTAACTAACTACTGCTGAGCAATTGCATTCAGCAAGGTGAACAAATGGAAAAACAGGGAGGGAGTACTCATTCTTAGAGATGTTCACTGTTGCTTCTCACCCAGATCATTTGTTAATGATCCTGGGAATTCTTTCTGAACATTTTTTTTCCCTCATTCAGCTTACTTAGCCATAAGCATTAAAAAAATCTAGAAATGGCAATCCCTTAAATTAGCAGAGACTGATGCTCTGTTAATGTTTTAATGCATAAATTTCTACAGGCCACAACACCAATTTCTGAGTACCTGCATGTATAGGGGTCCTGTCAAAGTCTCCATGATCCCTCCCTTCTCAGGACCCTGGTGGGTTCCTGGTGACCATATTTGTACACCTGTGACTTTCCTTCCAGCTCGTACTAAATAATTTTGGGAGAGTTGGCACCTAATCCAAGGTGAACCAAGGAAATACTCTGGGGAATTGTGTATTAGGAGCAAATAGATCCCAAGAAGGAAGTTGTTTCACTAATGTCAGAGATTTCCAGAGGAAGTCGCCAGGCACATCCTACAGCTCAATTTTCTGGAGCTGCCTTGATTCCCTCCCTTTCTGAGTTATGATTACTCAGCTTTTCTTGGTATCATAATAGGATCTGGGGCAAGAGAAACTAACTTGTCCAGGATATCATAACTGAAAAAATATCCAGTCATGGACAAGTCTCTGGTATGATGTATGGTTTCCCAAGATAATATCAATTAGATTTATTTTATCTATTGATTGCTGAATGGATTGATCATAAAGATAGCAATAGTAAGTTCAGTTATGCTTTCCAAAAGTTGAGTGTTTTTTTTATTATCGCAACTGTAGGATCCATGCACATGAGACATTAGTTATTCATTTTACACACAAGGCTTTGTTAGCTTTTCAAATTGCTTTGTGAAAACTCCAGAGCTTCACAACGTGTGAATCAGTGGTTCCGCGTAAGATTTCAAGGCATGGCCTGATTTTGATGTGATGCGGTTAATTAACCAGATGACACCTGTCTGAAAATGAGGTCAATTAAGTGAGATATGCCGACCAGTGGGAGTCAAATGCTATTTTCAAGTATCTCTAAAGCTCATTAACAGTCCCACAGATAATATTTCATTCTAATTTTATGTTGAAATAATTATTTAAAACTATAATAAAAAACAAGTACACTATATAGTGTCCTATGTACATTTTAATGCATTCAAGACCACCTCAATATTAAATTTATGCAGCCAGGTTGATTTATGCAGAGCATGGAGAATTTTTGCTTTGAAGCAAGTAAGGCTTCCTTTTAATCCAGCGGTTCTCAACCTGTGGGTCACTACCCCCTTGGGGGTCGAACGACCCTTTCACAGGGTCGCCTAAGACCATCCTGCGTATCAGATATTTACATTACGATTCATAACAGTAGCAAAATTACAGTTATGAAGTAGCAACGAAAATAATTTTATGGTTGGGGGTCACAACATGAGAAACTGTATTTAAAGGGCCAGAAGGTTGAGAACCACTGTTAATCCATCATTAAGCTCCTGCTAGAGATCAACTACCTATAAATGTATCTGAACCATGTAGAAAGGTGTCATTGATCATAGAGGTGGTTACTTGGCACACAGGTATGGGTTTTTTTACCCAATTCAGGTAGCCTATAACTGGTCATATAAGATTTTTAGAAACAAATGTTTCACTATTATTAGGATTTTCTCAATACTATACTAATAAAATACAACAAAAAAATATTGCTGCTGAGGTAGATTTAAGGCCCTAATTATAATTTCTGCTTCCAAATTTGTGTGGTCATTAAAATAGATGACAACATTGAACTTATAAGATAATTTTATATTAACAAAATACTCTTTTTACTTATTTTATTTCTATTTTATAGATTGAGCTTCTATTTAAGATTTTGTTTCATTAATGTTTTCCTCAAAGGAAATGGTTTGAAAACCACCATTAAGCCAAATTTCTCAACCTTGGCACTACTGACATTTTGAAACAGATAACTCTTTACTGTTGGAGGCTTTCCTGGTCATTGCAGGATGTTAGGCAGAATCCCTGGCCTCCACCGACTGGATGAAAGTATCAGGCCTCCACTACCAGCCTGACAATCAAAAATGTCTACAGATATTGCCAAATGTCTCTTATGGGGAAAAATTACCCACTGGCTAAGTCATAGGATCATAGGACTTGCCACACTTTAGTAATGTATATATATATAAAAAGCCCATGACCCTAACGCCATAACAACCAAAGACCAGCGAGGGTGTGCAGGGCTGCAAGCAAGGTGAGGCCACACGGGTGGGCGGGGCCATGCTAGTTCTCGTGCTGGGCTTCTAGTTTATAGATAATTTTCACAATCTTTTTACTTATAAGAAGCTATTAAACAAATACTATAGTAGGGTAGATAGATAATTTTTAAAACATTTAAAAATATGTATTGTGTTGTCTCGTTAAGGGTGTTTTCAAATACTTGCAGGCCATAAAAACAGGCTTGTGAAATTGTATTTTAGAAAACAAAAAATATGCAGTATATATTTTTAAGTAAAAAAATTAATGCATGTAATTATGAGAGCAGGAGTCAAGAAAGAATCTAATAAAATCCTTTCATGTGCTAAATTCTGGAATATAACTAGTCTCTAAAATTTTTGTAAAACACTTTGAAGAAATGTTTTATAAATTGCACCTGATTTTTTTTTTTTGCTTTTGCCTATTGCTCAAATAAATCTGATTACATTGACCAACATCCTGTCTAAGAAAGGCTTCAAAGGGAATGCCCCAATGCTCATCCTGTGAACTCTCATCTTTCATAAGGAAAGCCTGAGAGAAATTGGAAAGGATTAGGGTCTTTTGTAACAGTGTTTTAAGAAGAAAGTTCCTGTTAGGTTAACACACATGACCAAAACAATAAGTCACCTTGGCAGCCTCAAAAAACATAGGAATGAAGAGTACTTTGTCAAATTTAGATACTCTGTTAGTGAGAGCATAAATTGGCACAACCTCTACCAAGGGCAATGTGGCAAAACTTACAATGCATATACCTTTTTCCAACCATTCCCTTTCCAGAAATAGCCAACAGATAGTAGTGAGACATAGAAGGGTGTACCAGTATATTCAATGCATCTTCATTTGTAAAATTAAAAGACAGGAAACAGTGTAAATGTCCATCAAAAGATGACTGGAAATATAAAGTATGGTATTTCCATACAACTGAACACATTGCAGTAAAATTTTTAAGACAGCTTATTATTTACGGATATAAAACCAATTCCAAGATGCATTGTTAATGCAAACAAGAAAGGTTCAGAGCAGGTAGGCAGCTGTCTAAGAAGCTATCCTCTAAGAAGATATAGCCGTACTCCTATTTGCACAAGGAATATTCATGGAAAATTTCCAATGTTGTGGTTCCTGGAGATTAAAGTAGCAAGGAAACTTTCTATTATTAAATTTGAATATTTTGAATTCTTTACATTACAATCACACGTTACTTTGTGAGAGAAGACCATGCCATTTTTTCAAAGAAAAGTGCTTTCTCAATTCCATAGTAATATGCAATGTTCGTAAGAGTGGATAGCCTAGGAATTTCAGTTACTCTCAGATTCCATAGCCCAGGCAAATGAAAATGGAGGGATAATGGAAACCCAGGTGAGATATCTAGAGTCAGGGTTTGGGGTTTTGCATAAAAACATAAGCTCAACTGGAGTTGGTGACTATGTGGTATGAACACCAATCCTAAGGTAGTGTTTCTTTCCTGGTTATATTGAGTATAGGTGGACCAGGGTCTCAGAGATGAATTTGACAAATCTCTGTAATAGTGGGTAGTGTTAGGCACCGAAAGTTATAGAGGACAGGTTTTGTTGTTGTTGTTTTGTTGTTTTATTATTAGGTTGTAGCAGGAGATGAAGGTAGGCTTTGATGCATATTGTAGATGACCTACTTATAGGCAGGACTTGCTGAAGATACTGGCAGAGACATTGGCAGGATGCTATGGGATAAAAATAGCTATAATAATGACCAGCATTTATGGAGCACACATCTCTTTTAATTCTCACTGCCATTCATCCTATGTAGTAGGTGTTATGATGGATAAGGGGACTGAGGCTCACGGGGCTCAATTAAATAGTCCAGGCTCACAAGACTAGTTAGCAGCAAAGAAAGACTCAAATTCAATCTGCCTGCCTTCAAAAATGTTAACCACCAAATTTTTATGCCCATTGGTAACATGATCCGGGGCTGGGAAGCCTGAAACTGAGGGCCATCGTACTTATGATGCTATCTTTCTCTCTCTCATCCTGACAGAATCACCACCACAGCTGCATGTATGATGGATCTACGAAGATATCCTCTGGATGAACAAAACTGCACTCTGGAGATTGAAAGCTGTGAGTTACTTGGACAGGGGAATGGAAAGGGGGGTGCGTGCTTGACTCAATTAAATTCCACCTTGTGCTGAATGATTGCTAGGATATTTTCAGCTATACTATGATGCCAACTTTTTAAGGGTTTCCCACTCTAGTGACATTTCTCCTTATATTGGTGTCTCCAAGTTCATTTCAATGCGGTTACATTTTTGAACCATGAGAAAAGTCTACTTAGTTTAGCAGGACAATTCATGCTATCTCCTCAGATTGGAGTTTCTCCCAAGGTGTTCTAACACCCAAACTGCATTAACAAGAGGGGGAAAAACATTTTAGTATGTAAAGGCTTTAAGAGATTGTTTTTGATTTGATAGTCTCCACCTGGAGGGTTGTAAATTGTTGTATTTTAGAAAAACACTATGGTAGGGTCTTGTGCGCTTTTGTCTTTCTTCATAGGAAGAATAAACCTTCATGATGCTCGTGCATTGGGTCAAAGACTTGCTATGTTTCAGGTCTAGTGACTAATTTTGGTTTGTCTTCTTGGGCTGTTTTCATTGATTGCTTTCTTAACAATTTGAATATTTTAGTCACTGATACTAATGTGATTGACTTTGTTTCATTGTTTCATATGAATATTTTAGTCACTGAGACTTAGTTTGATTGACTTTGTTTCATAGCTATCAACAAGCAGGCATTTAAGTCCATTTATTGTGAATACCAGGCCTAGGCCATTTCCTGGTTTTAAAGGACACAGAAAGATGTAGTAGTAAATTCAGAGCATTATAATGCCACCTACTATAATGTGAGAAATAGACAGATATTTACTTAAATCATCTAAAATTCTTCCCAGATCTAAACATCAAAATAGTAAAAGAAAATGGGAAAAATTCAGTGACCTCATAGTATTATTAAAGAATACCAGTAAATATAGTACTGTACTCCTAATTATCTGATTATTAAGAAACTAGAGGCCCAGTGCACGAAATTCATGCACTCGGGGGGGGGGGGGGGTAGCGGGGCAGGGATTCCTCAGCCCAGCCTGTGCCCTCTCACAGTCCAGGAGTCCTCAAGGGATGTTTGACTGATGGCTAAGTCAGTTGTCAGACATCCTTAGTGCTGCCACAGAGGCAGGAGAGGCTCCTACCACTGCTGCTACGCTCGCCAACCGTGAGCCTGACTTCTGGCTGAGCAGCGCTCCCCCTGCGTTGAGCAGGATCGGGCTGAAACTGACTCTCTGACATCCTCCAAGGGGTCCTGGATTGTGAGAGGGCACAGGCCAGGCCAAGAGACCCCACCTGTGCACGATCAGGGCCCGGGAGGGATGCAGGAGTTTGGCCAGTCAGGGAGGGACCATGGGAGGGCTCCAGGGCATGTCCAGCCCATCTTGCTCAGTCTCAATTGGCTGGACCCCATCAGCAAGCTAACCTACTGGTCGGAGCATCTGCCCCCTGGTGCTCAGTGCACGTCATAGCGAGCAGTTGGGCAGCCTTAGCATATCATTAGCATATTATGCTTTGATTGGTTGAACGGATGACTGGACGACCGGACACAGCATTTTAGGCTTTTATTAGTATACTAGTGGCCCAGTGCACAAAGTTTGTGCACATTAAAAGGGAATTAATTAGAGGAAATATTTTAATATTGCTATTTGCCCTTTCTCTATAATAGAAATGTCAGAGATGAAAGAAAATTAGTAAAATGAAAATCTTCCTCCTGTCAGAGTCTGGGGTGCGCCACAGGACCCAGAGTCAAGTCCCCGCCGACCCGCGCATGCCTCAAAATCGCACGAGACCTAGACCCAGCTGGCCCCACCCCCATTGGGCGAGATGCAGACCCAGCCGGTCTCACCCCCATCAAGCCCCGCCGGGGGGGGAGCACAGCCTCAGGTCCCCTGGCCCAGCGCCAGACTGGGTCCCAGCCTCGGGTCCCCCATCAAGCCCCACTGGGTGGGGGGGTGCAGCCTCAGGTCCCCCACCACGGCCCGGTGCCACGCAGCCTCAGGTCCCTGCTGATCACTCGTCACGGGAACCCCACTTCCACTGTGGGCACAGCCATCTTGTGACGGTGTGAGAATTAATTTGCATATTACCTCTATTATATAGGAGAATAGGATTACATTAATTTTCTACTTTTACTGAACACAAACATAGAAATAGATAAATATACTTTTGTAGATATAGATATAGATTCAGACACAGATGGTGATATACTACCACTAAAACTAGAATGAACAAGAAAATTCATGAGCTATTCTTTAAGAAATATTCTAATTTTAAAATGCATTATATAAGTAAGCTGGTTGATAGGTGTTACTATGTGATGTGATGACTTTTGATTTAAATGACAACCAAATTCAAAAGGTAGAAATGAAATATGAACACAATCATTTTTTAATGGCCAGTAATAGTTTATAAATAAGGCAGAACTTGAGCTAAGCAAGTAAACCATTAGCTTCTGGAACGGACATGGAAAGAGGCCATCATGGGTTGCTTCATATGGATTGCCTTTTACCCTCGGCATCTCTTCCGTGGATTGTGATCTTTTACCTTTACTTCACTGGACAGCAGTAGGATATGACATCCTCTCAAAATTCAAAGACCTTATGGTTTACATCAGTAACCTAAAGAAGTAATGAGTTTGACAAGTCCTTAAATTTATTCTGTGTTGTAAATTATCAAGCTAAAATTATCAGGATTTATTGTCTCCTAAAATGCATTTTTATTTTATAATACATATTGAGTTTTTATATTATTATAAGTTATACTTTTCTTTAAGTATGCAATTAACTTTATTCATATTTAGGAAATAGATGACTTTGAAGTCCATTTATTATATCATATAATGACCAAAACAAAACTATAAATGAGGCAGAAATAAAACATAAGTTTCATGTGGCAGGGATGGGGAAGCACCAACAGCCAGATTCTCCAAAATAATTATAAAATATGGTGTCAGGCAATAGGTGGTGACCCAGGCATATGGAGTCATTGAGGAAATTCAGTAATATGCCATCAGCTGTCTGGACAGATGGATGAAGCAGGTAACTGGACCCCTCAAGTCAGCTAATAGGTAGAATTGCAGGCAGATGGTGGCCATCATTCAAGTGACCCAACAGCAGGTCACAGAACTCCAGTCCCTACAGATATTTACCTAAAGCAAAGCAGAGACTCGAGTCTGTAAGAATCTGTGTAATGAGGAGTTTATAACAGCAGGAATTTGGGAGAAAGGGTGAAAAAAATCACAGAACTGCCTTGTACTTGCCAGACCAAAGCTAGGCATTAATATAACAGCTCCGTAACATAAATATTTCTACCAACTTTTGAGAGATAATGTATCTGAGGCTCAGAGAAGTGAAATAACTTACACTGGCCAAGGATAGTGGTGAAGTGGGGCTTCAAACCCAGGTAATCTTACTGTCATAAAATCCTGCAATCAACAGGTGAGCAAGGGAGCAGAACATCAATAGTTGGAAATACAGCACCTATTGGAGCCACTTGCAGCTAGGGTGAGGATGCTGAGTCAACCAAAGATTGGTCTATATTTCCTAAAATTATCCCTAATACAGGTTAAAATAGAGCCCAGAAGCTGAGGCAGAACTGGCTTTCAGGTCAAAGGTCAAATGATTGCAACTGCAGAGAGGGTAGTCTGTGGATGCCGGAAGCCAGATAGTCCTTGATTCCATTCATGGTAACCTAAAAAAAAAAAAAAAGAAAAGCAAAAAGCGTAAAGGCCTCAAATGACAACATTGTTTAGCTTTAATATTTTAGTTAAAATGTATACCTTCTTAACAATAGATAAATCAATGTAAAGAGATCTTAAGTATTAAAAGGAATAATTCCAAGCATCAAAGTATCATATGGCAATACTATGGAGTTCAAATGAGCTTTGCTTGTTCCCTGCCTAAGTACATAATCAATATGTTGTTAAGTACTAATAAATACAGAATCTGGTATTCATCTTTTTTAACTCTTCATGAAGAAACATGTGTTGCATTATTTGCTAAAATAGCTCTCCCTGAATTTATGAAGCCTGTAACTGAACTTTAAAGTGATTACAAATGAGAGGCTGTCGTGTATGTTGGGAAATAAGAATGATAAAGTAGACATGCCGCCAAAGTAAAGTTGAACCGATTATACTTTTGCGAACAATAGAGTAGAAACATTACCTACCTTACAAAATGCACTAGTTTGTATTCTCTTCCATCACAATCCCAAGGATGGGGCAATGTTTTGCTTGGTTAGGTCTTTTGAGAAAAACTAAAGATGTTTTGCTTTTTTTAAATGTCATCTAATCCAGTAAAATTGGAAAGGTTATAAAGCCTTGTTAAATTGAAATTTTAGTTGAACTTGGAGCAGATCAATAGCTTTCTAGCCCTGGGATGCTATAAAAACAGTTAATGGCACATAGAAAAATTGATCAAGAAATTTAGTACTAAGAGGATTTGGAATTTGAAATCAATAAAGCTGTCATGTGAAGGTTTGATAGCCATGAGCTGCATGTAGATATAGAAGGACTTGGGATAACCATCATGGAGGATTCAGGTGCCTTTTCCAATTCTCTGCAGCAACAATGGAGGAAGATATTGACCCGAATCTCATCCTCTCAGTACAAGAAGATCATGTCACTTGTCACTTATACCCAAAGCAGTAGCAGCCATCTCAGGCCTGAAATCTCTCAGCAGGCTCACCCATCTTGTTCTACACTTCCTGGTGTCTTCACCATTCTAAGCTGGCCCTCCGTATTTCAGAGGAGGAGGTGCTCCACTTCTTTTATAGCCTGACCTTGGCCCCGGTGCTCAGGATTCCATCTGTCTTCCTCCTCTGAGAATTGATTTTTTTTTTCAAGTTCACACACACTCCACCCCTGATCACTTTAATCCTCAATCTCACCCTCTGGCTAGCCCTTTATTCAAAGCCTAAAAACAAGTTTAAACTCTTCTCATTATCAAACACTTCTACTGTTCCCCCTACAACTCCCCTTAAGCTTTCTGTAATTACTCTCCTTTTCTTCAAGCTACCTGAAAT